CCGGTTCGGCGCTGGGGTCCCAGGCGCGCGCGGGGTGGGGGTGGGGGGGGGCCGGAGGGAGGGAGCGCGACACCGCTCCCGCGGGACCGGCACCCCGGGTTCCTCGGGGCCCCTCCCAGGGGAACCAGAAGAGACCACGGCTGGACTCTCAGGGGTCCAAGGGAAACCGTGGGTCCGCTCTTACAGGGACCAGGTGTGGCTGTGGGTCTGCTCCCAAGGGGACCAGGCTGTAGGTGTGCTCCCTTGGGGACCAGCAGCAGAGGGGATCTGGGGTCCCCTCCCACAGGGACCAGGGTTGGTCACGCCCCCCACCTCCAGCCCCCTGGGACCAGGGGTAGTTGCGGGTTGCTCCCATGGGATGTATGAGGCGCTGGGTCTCTTTCCACAGGGGCCAGCAGCAGGGGTGACTGTCGATTCCCTCCCTCAGGAGACAGAGGCGGCCACGGAAGGACTGCCATCCGCACCCGGGAAGCCAGCGTCTGCCCGATGGGTATCAGCACCAGGGATCTATGATGATGCTTGAGAAATCAGATAGGAAGCCATCATTTCCACAACTGACCAGATCTAAGAGGCAACCGACCCCTTTAGATGTGTTAAAGATAAACTGGGCTATATTGAACTTTTCTAAGTTCATTTGAGCACAAGTTGATTCCAGTGGAGAAGTACTAAACTGGAAGAGTTTGGGGCGGGACAGGAGCTCCGGGAGAGACCTGTACACAGAAAATGCTGACGCAAAGCCAGATGGTTAATTGGCTACAGCCTGAAGCCTAGTTGGCTGTCTCCGATTGGTTGTTCTTACATTTCGATTCGGTAACCTTAACCTTGAGGCCTTTACAGGCTCCCTCCGGGCTTATTCACATCAGCACCAAGGCATCAGAGCCCCGTGGGTCTAGTGGCCTTTGTTTAATTTAACACACAGGGCCCGGGGCCTGGGCTCTTCAGCTCACCACGGTGGCTGATGACTCACTTCAATTCCTTCATGATCTCCATTTCAATTCCTGTTTTAAGAAGAATCTGAAGCTTATTTCTTGGCTCCACAGTCACTAGGGACTCAGGTTTCTTTCTAACTCCAGCATCCCAGTGTTTGGCCTCTGTTCCCAGCAGGGCCACAAGGTGAAGCTTGAGTGCTGAAGCCCCACCCATCACATTCACGTTCCAGGCAGCAGGGAGCAGGGGCAAAAGGGCACAGCAAAATGACACTTTTACTTTTAAGAGCTCCTCCTGGAGTGTCACCCAGCCCTGAGGCCTTTATCTTACTGTGTACCTGGCCACATCTTCTATCCAGGGCAGCTGGGAAATGTAGTGTGACTGCTGGGCACATCATCACCCTGAATCAAATGGCAGTCACTTAGCAATAACAGGTTCCAGGGGCTTGTATGTGGACAGATCTTTTCCAGGGCAAGGCACTCCACCCGCTAACAGGCCCATATCAAAGATGATGGCTTGTGTGAACGCCCTGACCGCCGTGCTGGGACCCTTCCCAATCCTCCTACCCCTGAGTCTGAGCTTAGTCACGGCTCCAACCTCCCCCTTGCTTGGGAAGATGTCATCAGTAGGGTAGGCACCGGGTAGATGTTTGTTGAATTAAGTGAAATCATGGAATTTGCACTGCTGTGAAATTTTGTTCCCACGATGATGCATTCCTGATTTAAAAAAATTTTTTAATGTTTATTTATTTTTGAGACAGAGAGAGACAGGGCGTGAGCAGGGAAGGGGCAGAGAGAGAGGGAGACACAGAATCCGAAGCGGGCTCCAGGTTCTGAGCTGTCAGCACAGAGCCCGACGCGGGGCTCGAACCCACGAACCGTGAGATCGTGATCCGAACCAAAGTCGGACGCTTCACCGACTGAGCCACCCGGGCGTCCCTCCTGATTTTCTAATGGAAGTCAGTGCTGCTATAGGATTTGCTGGGCTGAAATTCACTGTCGTTGGATTTTTCTGGCATAAACCTGTTCTGTAGGGTAGGAGATTCTGACAGATCTTTGGGGGCCCATTTCTTTGTTCATTCATTGCTTCCGTGTGCCTGTTTAGGAGACAAAAGAAGGACCGTAAACAGTATCATAGCTAATTAGTTCATTTTGGTGAAGTCTTTTGTGATTCTCCCAAGTAGGCAGTGAAAAGGGTTCAAAGACAAATGTGACGTCACGGGATGACACAGAAATAATTAGTGGGGGGGGGCACGACTAGAACAGAAAAGGTCGTAAGCATCTCTTATGCTTCTCCAGATGCTTCTAACACAAGGGTCTTAAAATATATGTAAAGCAAAATCTATTTTTTCTTTCATCATAGTGTTTGCTTAGACTATTTCTCCAGTTCACGGCACCAGGAAAAATGAAACTATGTTATTTGCCCCGTGTAAAAGTGATCGCATTTTCAGGGCGAGATACTGACTTTAGGAATGGCTCATGATAAAAATCAACCCTTGACATCTTTCTCTCTCTCTCTCTCTCTTTTTGCTTCATGACATTAACAAACGAGGTACGCTCCTTCTCTGTTTCTATCAGGTTCCAGTCTCTGCACCGTCTTTGTCCCCCCACCACAGTAGTGAGAACTACAAATGTGGCGTGCGGGGTGGGGGGCGGGGATCTTCCTAAAAACAGAAGGCACGTATACAACTGTGGTTTAAGTGCCCTGGTTAGGTTTCCTTTTTCTGGCTTTCCGGACAGCACTTGACATGATCAAATGCAAAAGAAAGCCGCAGGTCTAAAGTAACTGGTTTCTTCTAGTGTTGCTTGGCGAACGGG